TGTAACACAAATTACGGAGAACTTGCAACTTTCTAGATTACTAAGTGTATTAAAATAACACAAAGTATCTATTACATACCTCAAATGCTTATTGAGAGGCATTGAGACCCGCCCTGATGGTCCAGTGATGACTCAGTTCTAGAGTTTTTCCATCAACAAGTTTACAGGATGAGCACTTCAGATTACCTCTACTGGAAATTAAGGACATCGATTCAGTCTCATACTACCTCCAGAGCTCTTAGCAAAACTCATTTATGAAATCCAATGGACCACTTAAAAAAAATGTTTTTCCCCTTTCATTTCTAGAAGTCTTTTCCAACACCTTATCTTCCCTATCCCTGCAGGCATTCTGTGACACAAAAAGCCCTCAGGTACTTCTCAGTTTAACTTAGGAGAAGTTAACTTGAGCAGCAAAGCACAGCGATGAGCCCTTTCAGCTCACTGGCAAAACCCAAGTTCCTCAATAGATGCCTGGGAGCAGTCCATCAAGACACATATTTCTCAAATCAAAATATAAAACAATAAATATTTCAATGAAAGACTTAGGACAAGGGATGCAACCATTCGGATCATTAAAAAATAAAATAAAATCAGCAAATCCAAGCTTTCACAGAATCACAGAATCACCCGGGTTGGAAGGGACCTCAAGGATCATGTAGTTCCAACCCCCCTGCCTAGCAGGGACACCAAACGTACACATTTAGACAAAGTTGCCCAGGACCCCGTCCAACCTGGCCTTGAACACATCCAAGGACGGGGCATCCACAACCTCCCTGGGCAGCCCGTTCCAGGGCCTAACCACTCTCCTTGTAAAGAACTTCCCCCTAACATCCAACCTAAATCTTCCCTCCTTCAACTTGGATCCATTTCCCCTAGTCCTGCTATTGTCATCCCTTTTGAAGAGTTTACTCCCCTCCTGGGTGTAGGTTCCCTTCAGGTATTGATAGGCTGCAATGAGGTCACCCCGCAGCCTTCTCTTCTCCAGGCTGAACAAGCCCAACTCCCTCAGCCTGTCCTCATAGGGGAGGTGCTCCAGCCCCCTGATCATCTTAGTCGCCCTCCTCTGGACCCATTCCAAAATCTCTATGTCTTTCTTGTACTGAGGGCTCCACACCTGGACACAGTACTCCAGATGGGGCCTCACAAGAGCCGAGTAGAGAGGGACAATCACCTCCCTCTCCCTGCTGACCACCCCTCTCCTGATGGAGCCCAGGATCCCATTTGCCTTTCGAGCTGCCAGAGCGCACTGCTGGCTCATGTTAAGTCTCTTGTCCATCAGGACCCCCAGGTCCTTCTCTGCAGAGCTGCTCTCAAGGACCACTCCTCCCAGCCTGTACGGGTGCCTGGGGTTCTTCCGGCCCAAATGCAAAACCTTGCACTTTGCCGTGTTGAACCTCATTAGGTTCACTCGAGCCCAGCTTTCCAGCCTGTCGAGGTCCCTCTGAATGGCATCCCTTCCTTCCACCGTATCAACCGCACCACTCAGCTTGGTGTCATCAGCAAACTTGCTGAGGGTGCACTCAATTCCCTCATCGATGTCATTAATAAAGATGTTGAAGAGCACCGGTCCCAAGACAGACCCCTGGGGGACACCACTTGTTACCGGCCTCCACCTGGACATAGAGCCATTGACCACCACCCTCTGTCTGCAGCCTTTCAACCAATTGCTTATCCATCGGGTCGTCCACGCATCAAATCCACTTCCCTCCAATTTGGAGATGAGGATGTGGTGGGGGACCATGTCAAAGGCCTTGCTCAGGTCCAGGTAAATGACATCGGTCGCCTTCCCTTCGTCCACCAATGCCGTCACTCCATCATAGAAGGCCACAAGATTAGTCAGGCATGACCTTCCTTTGGTGAAGCCGTGCTGGCTGTCTCGGATCACATGCTCATTCTTTATGTGATCGAGCATGTTATCCAGGAGGATCTGTTCCATGATCTTCCCAGGCACGGAGGTGAGACTCACCAGCCTGTAGTTCCCCGGGTCCTCCCTGCTCCCCTTCTTGTATATGGGAGTGACGTGACCCTTCCTCCAGTCATCCGGGACCTCACCTGACAGCCACAACTTCTCAAATATGATGGAGCGCGGCTCGGCAACCACCTCAGCCAGCTCCTTCAGGACCCTGGGATGCACGCCATCAGGCCTCATAGACTTGTATTCATTCAGTCTAAGGAGGCACTCTTGGATATAAGCTATAAAGCCTATAAGCTTTACCTTATAGGACAAGTAATTCAGTATATTTAAAAAGATTTTCTAGAACTGTTTGCAGAGAGGCGTGACAAAACTCCCAATAGCTTCAGCTTTGCCCTGAGGTTTGTGACTGGAGTGGATACTAGGTGAGCCTGCGAACACCTCAGTATGCACAGAATTCACCTCCCATCTTGACTTATACTACATCTGTGGAAATCAGAAGGAACTTCACTCAAGAATGGACAGGAAACGAACCATCCCTCAAAAATGAGTAAGATAAAGAAGTCCCCAGAAGGGCCTTGGAGCTGGGTCTCTTTAGCTTGGGGGAGACTGAAGGGTGACCTCATTAATGTTTATAAATATGTAAAGGGTGAGTGACACAAGATGGAGCCAGGCTCTTCTCAGTGATATCTAATGATAGGTCAAGGGTCCAACATAAAAGGTTCCACATAAACATGAGAAAAAACTTTCCCTTCCAATCCCTGATGTTCTGTGAATGTGGTACCAACCTAGAAAGATAAATACCAAATAAAAAGCTTTTAGAATGGAGTACTTCCAACTTAAAAAAAAAATAATCATAAGAGAAAAAATTCAAGAGGAGGAGAAGCATGATGATAAAGAGCACTGTTTGAAGGGTACAAATGCTTGATATCTAAAGAAATGGTTTAGTGTAATATAAAGGCTTTACTACAAATAATGAGTGATATTAAAGTAGCGAAAACATAAGCTGAACATACAGTTGAAAGCTAATGCTATGTAACAATCGCACAAAGGACACAAGTTTCTCAACTGGCACACCTATTATTAGATCAGATCAAACTTTACAAAGGGTAACTCTTCTAACAAGCTCAGCACCCAGCAGCTCCTAGCTCATCTCCTGAAAGCCAGAGAAGCCAATTCTGAAAGCTCTATCACTTTATTTACTCAGTGTCTCAGCAGGAGCTACAGTAGGGAGACCTGGCCCCAAAACTTACATTATCCAGTGTTTTACCCTTAGCACTATAAAAATAAAAATGAAACACTCCGTGAATTGCAATGGCTGGTTTTTTTTTTATTCCTGTAAAGACGTTGATGAAGGTTGGTAAGAAGAATCAAAAGGACTGTGATGGAGAAAAACAGCTGCTGCTGTTTTAGATTAGCTTTACAAAAAAACATGTTTAGTCAGAACACCATTACAATAAATTAGACAATTAAACTGTACTGAAGTTATAATTGGAAATATATTTTCAATTACTTACAGCAATCCCCAAATATGTATCCCCGATACCTGTTCTTCCATGGTTTAAACTGATAGTGATCTCTAATATATGACTGTGTTGATAAAATATGAGACATTGTTTTTGTGGCTACACACACAGAGACAAAGAATCACAGAAAGGATTTTTGCTGTAGGCAACACATCCCAAAGGCTTCGGTAAAGTTATCAATACTGAAAAGGCTTAAATCCATGAGCACCAATTCTCACATCCAGCCTCTAACAGCAGTTAATGCCAGGTACCTCAAAAGAAGATGCACAGAAGACTGCTGGACCAAGATACAAGATGGCATTCTCCCAACTTGCAGTAGACAGATGGTGATTCCTGCTCAGAATTTTTTTCTTTATCTCCTCCAAAAGTCTATTTTGTTTAGTGTTTTCTCTTGCCAGTACATAATTTAGTTACCCCCCATGATATCCAAGTTTATCTTTAATTCTGTTAAAATTTTTCACCAGAAATGAGTTTCATAGGTGAACAGAATGCAGAAGGTAAAAATGCTGCCTTTATCTGGGTTTTCACTATGTTACTATGGCTCCCCTCATTAAGAATTCTTTTGGCCTACCCACAACATTATGATATAGAAAAAAACCCCAAACTTTCAAGAGTCAGGTAAAACCTTCCAGTGGAGATCGTGGGTGTCTCAGCAGTAAGCTGTGAGCTAGGATGTTCCCAGTGCCCTAATTAGTCTTTGAGAAGAAATCAGGATGCAATATTCCTTTTGGGTGTCTGTTGGCCTTGGGGAAAGCTGAAACTGAGCAGTTCCTGAAGTCACCAAGCTTTTTTAGAGGGAGGCTCTTTGCACAGATGGAGAAGCAAGGTGATTTCATTTATAACCAAACCCCATGATGCTGGACCATGAAAGAGTTTTAACAGCTTGCTACTTTGCATTCATTAAGAGTGCACTGAATGTGTATCACGCAAGTGCTAATCAAAAAGAGAAGCAGAAAGTCCAGCCATTCTTCAGATAAGTAGTCATTTGGAATTAAAAAACAAAGAAACAATTAAAAGGCTTTGGCAATAAATGCTTAGCAGATGATGCACTGACAAACCACTACAATTACAAAACGTATTTTCAGCATAATATGGTTAGCATAATGTTCTCCACATGCGTTAATGTATTATCAGGGTAGCTCTAAATCACTTTTATCAATTATTGAACTGTAATAAAATATTTATAAATGGGTTCTTAATATCAAATGCAACTGTGCTAATTTTAAACTGTGGCAAATGCATGGGAATGTGCTTATCATTTCATTAACAAAAACTTGTGGAGTGTTAATAAATGGCTTTGTTTTAATTCATGCTTTGCATGCTTCTATTTTCAGTAGTTCTGATTTTTAATGAAATGTAAGCTAACAGTCATTCAGTTCTGCTATGTTGTATGGAATGAAGCAGCCTATTTATAAGAATACTTCAATATTATCATGAATTAGAGACACCACTAAGTTAAGAGACTACCTATTTCAAGGGGGTAAAGCTCTAAGATCTATTATGAATTCTCTTTTGACTTGCTACTCCCAATAAGAACCGGACTGAAACCAAGGTATTTTTTTTCCCATCCAATTTTGAGGAATCAGCAGAACATAGAAATATTTTTGATGAAATGTGTACATGCAGGAATACTCTATTTTGGATAAATCAAGAGGTTTCACCAAGGAGCAAGAAGTTTCAAAAATATCATCCTAAAAAACCTGGGGAGTTCCAGGGTGCTCTCTCTGTCTTCTCTCACCCACCTTCTGAAAGAACAAGTAAGCAAGAACACAAAATATTCAGTGTAAAATCTGACCTTACACTCCAAAAAAAGGTGATGTGGCCAAAAATCCATCACTCCAAAAGTCTTTTTAAAGGTTCTGCATAAATTCCTTTGAAGAGACATCTTTGTTTAAACCTCAAGAGTCATTACCATTGTCTTGCCACACCCAAACCCAAAAGAAAGTCAAGTGACAATTGTAATAGCAGCATTTAATAAGATCTTCCCCGTATCTCTGAATGAAAATTATATACTTTTTAATTTTACAAGGTTAAAATTTCCAGGATATTATTCTATATGAAACAAGAACAAAGCAGTCAGACTACTATTAAATCTTCTCTTGGAGATGCTGGTAACAGGACAAAGATGAATTAAATCAGAACGAGAACTTCCACAGCAAGATATGAGTAACTACATTCTCCTGTTGGAATCTGCTTGTGTGTAAAGAACAGGGGACATGACAGGGCTTTCCTCACCCTGCCCTTGGCCCAAAAATCTATCTGTGTTAATAAAGAGTATGCAAGAAAAGAGGACTCAACTGCTATTAATGATGGATTTTATGCAGGTACAAAACTGACAAACTCCCACAGTCACAGAAAGAATGCACAGGACAAAGAATTGTGCCCGCTGCACTAATACTTCTATCAAGTCTTCTAGATCAGACACAGCAAAATCACAGTCACAAAATGAGTTGCTGAGAACTATCTTTGTTCCTGCCACTATAGCCACAAAACCGCAGCTGTCAGAGTGATTCCTTGCTGTAAACCATCTAATCACAACTTGATTGCAGAGTCCAAACATCATCTAAAAACCTTAAAGTGCTGCAGACTGCATCATTTTACTTTATAGAACAAATTGCTAAATATCAGTATACTTGATGGGGTGAAACTACTATGCTGGAGAAGTCTGTATTAAATTAGAACTGCTCTCCTAGATGTCAAGTGGAAAACAACCTCATCTCACTGCGCAGGCTCAAGAAACTCTCAGAAAGATTGGATATGCTCTGTCACTAATTTATGCATGTCTGAGTCAACAGAACCATTAATACTTGCTGTGCAGTAGCAGGAATTTTTAGTGATTCCTCCAAGAGAAGAAAATCTTCAAAAGCCAAAGTGGATAAAAGGGGATACGTATAATGTTGATCTCAATCTACTTCTCTGTGAAGAAACGCTGTTTTTGAGTCACTTGTAGCAGGTTCTTGGAATTCACTGCATCAGTAGACACATCTCAGAGAGTGACAATGAAGCCTTAGCTGAGGAAGGCACACAACAAGAGACCCAGCAGCCTGAAGGAAAACTGTTTCTGGAAAAGTACAGAAGGCTGTCAGCAGCCTCCAAGCCAGCTGACGCGAGATGTTACGGATCTGTGCACATCACACAGCCACAGCAGCCCATTTGGCATAACTGAAAATGTCTCTCTAAACAGGTTATCAACTGGTTCTATTCTGAAGGCCTTCCCTGGTTCATCCTGCAGTGATCAAAATAAACTTGGAGAAAAGGAGATGAGATCATGCTGACAACATTGTCAATGCAAGTTCTTTCCTGCAGGGACAACAGCAGTATGTCACAAAGCCTATAGGAGATGACTGCTTAGATGAAGCCCAGCACAAACAGTATGGTCCTGGCAATATTCACTGGTCTGTTTTGCCTGCCAGCATCTGGAAGGGAGTCCAATCTATCAGGTATGTCTGGACCGTACCAAAACTTGCTGAGTAGATCAAATCTCCTTGGGTTTTGCCTTCTGGGAAAACTTCTCCTATTCTTTTTCATGTCAGTCTCCAGTCATTTTTAAGGAGATAGGCAAGGGAAAAATAGAAAACATTTATAGCCACCTCATCTGGTCTCCTGAACCAAATCACCAACCCTTTTTCTTATGCCAGGCAACAGTGGCTTTTTTTCTTAACACTTATTAAAAGATGGGGGTGATGCAGAGAACTAACCATGTTCCTAGGTAAGTTGTTCAACAAAAATTTACATGCAAATGTAATTAACTATACTTAGTTTTTGACTTACAGCCCCTGAACTCTTATGAAATGTGAACAGCAAACCTGCAGTAAAGAATTAACTTTGCTTCCCAATGAGATTAATCCTGAGCCAAAAGATTACACAGCCATGTCCCTCTTGTTCCTGTGGTACACATAAATTATACTCTCCTCAACACTGAGCTGGCTGCTTTACTGCACACGAGTTACCAGACTTTCTAGTTAACAATGAAAAGCATTTCAAGTTTCTTAGCTTTCCTTTGCCATATATCAAATATACAAACAGCAAATTCAGCAGGAGTAATGAAGTGAGTTAGATGCTGCTGATATCTGAAACAGTTGCAGCCCTCCTGCCACTCCCAGAAATTACTGGGCCTCCTACAGAAGCTCCACAATGATTTTCAGCCCACTGTATTAGTGTAAACCAAAAGCAGTACCGCTTTGCTTTAACGCACCAAATAGTGAAAACCCAACCTTTTGGGGCAGCTTCCCTAGAGCTGTAGCTTCTCTGCAATTGCACCACATCCTCAAGGTGAAAGACATAACAGCTGGGGACAGCCAGACGCATATACTACGAACATGTTGCAAGCCAGAGGAGCCCTGCCATACTGACTAACCTGACAGCTGAGCAGTTCTAAGAGTAGTCCAATCCACCCATGTTGAGTACCTGGTCGGTTGCAATAAATGGGCATAAGACACTGAAATGTCAGTGTCAATATGCACATGAAAAGCACTAAGAAGGATGCTCAAAAGATTTATTTTTCAGTTACTGTCTCCCTTGTCACTATTTTCCCTAGCCAACATAAGGTACTTGACAGGGGGAAGAGTTGCGCAGAGTCAAGGACATCCAGATCGTAAGCCCAAGTAAGAGCCTGACTCACTCCAAAGATTGTTTGACAGCTAACTCAACACTTCAGCATCTTCTGCTTGTTGTGGGAAATGGACATGAACGATGCGCAGGGAATATACTGTCTGCAGCTAAAACAGCAGCCATGCAGGCATCGTCTTGCAACCAAGAAATTCCTTTTAGAAGCCAAAGAGCTGGAAAATGACTAGTCTTACAATTCATTCTTTTATTATTATCATTTTAATTACATTTCTAGCCTGAGATCCAGTTTGGTGGTGTGGGTTTTTTTTTTTTTTTTTTTTTTTTTTTTTTTTTTTTTTTTTTTCTAACAGGGTATTATTGTTTCACTAGAATCACAAAAGTAACTGTCTGCAATTTCCTAAGTGGAACAAAGGGATATTCAGTTTTCTTTCAGTCATTTCTGCAACCTTTGTTAAAGAACTCATTACAGAAACACTTCTGAATGAATGACAGCACCTAATGATGTTCTCCATATAGCAGCAATACACAAGTGAGATTACTTTATTTAATTTTTCTGCAGTTGCAGAGCACCCCTACGACAAACTTATGCTAACTCAGGCTGCTCTGGTCCTCCCTTGTTATTACAATGACACTTATAATGCAGTTCTTAAATAGACCCTGTAATTATCTGGGGTTTACATAACAGTGGCTCTACGATAGTTATGCTAGACAGCAAAGATTGCACATCCTTTATATTGCAGAACAGTCTCTACCTCACTGGACAATAAATGACTTGGGAGAAGGTCCCTGTGTACTAAATCAAATTATAGGGGGAAAAAAAACAAACAACAAACTGTCAAGTTCAGTACTAAAATAACCCAACCCAGTAAAGTTTTTTGGACTTCCTCATTTTGCCTTTTTTCTTTTTCCTGGCTGCTAAAAGCTGAAAAATTATTTTCATTGAAAATGTTTTTTGAAAATTATGTTATTGCTTCACCTTTAACCCCCAAAATTAAAGAGAAAAAAGACAACAGATTGTGTCAGTTTAAGACATCATCCTTTGGACTACAAAGCGGTTGGTATTTTAAACCAACCACAGTCACCCTACATTCTCTGCAAGACATATGCAAAGATCATTTGAAATAGACAGCAGTTGATGAGGAAAACAACCATGTACAGGAGGCACTGATGTATACAAATGTATTTTGGCACCATAATACATAAATCCAACACTACAATTATAAAAAAACCCACGATATTCTCCCATCTCCTAAAGAACAGAAAATTCCCAAAGACAAAATACATATCACAGTTTCTGTACTTTAAATACACCAATAATGTTTAAAGTCTACAAACACAAAGCTTTTTGCAAAATAAGTACTGAAGGCACACTTTCCTAACTCGGAGGAGTTCTGACTCATTATCTGCAAGTATTATCATAAATTTGTATTAACTACAACATGTTAGGAAGTCACCAAGCCATCCTAACAAGCCTCGCGTTAGAAAGACCCTGTGCCAATTTTTAAACCATAACTTCCATAATACTTAGAATTTGTCAGGTAATCTGAAAGAAGTCTCAAATAACATTTTAGTGGGAGATAGAAAAAGCGCATTTGTTAACAACCAAAATAAAATAAAGTATCTATAATATCTATACCACCTCACTATCCCATACAAATAAACAAGAGCCTGTCAACTTAGAGGGTTAATCAAAAGTCTCTCCATGTTCAGTGTTCTATGCTGTTTTTAAACACTTATGCACAGCTATGACATTACATTCACGAAGAAAGCAGCATGACTGATATTCAGCCACAATGTAGTAGTAGTAGTTTCACAGGATAGGTCATTTATTCCAATATTCAGCACTTGAAATGGACTGCAAACGTCTAGTTCATTAAATCTGAGCTAGCAAAATTGTTATGAGTTTTCTGCTTTTACCTACTGTTGAAGACTTCTTTGCTGATTTGGGCTGCTAACTCCTCTCTCTCTTGCTTCACCACAGCTTAGACTTGCATTTCTGTTCAAGTGTAACACTTCTATCCAATTGAAAATAACTGCAGATTTTATAAGTGAAATCTGTACTCTAGACATATTAAGCACAGCTCCAGAACAACCACCAGATCAGTAGAACAGATTAGAACCAAATATCATATCTTCAGTGTCTCAACCAGCATCAACAGGCTGGAGCTTCATGGAT